AAATTATATTCCAGATTTATATATATATATATATATATATATAAATGCTCTCAAGATCTATGATATACACGTTCTAATGCTCGCAAACATAAATGTAATAAAGTGTTACACGTACATTTAGTGTAATTTATAACACCGGTTATAAATAAAATTTACTCTCTTAGACTCGACACTTTCACTCTTTGGTCGAATTAATAGGGCACATATATATATATAAGTGAGTCTCAACAAAATGCGCGTGCGAAATTTCAAACACATTCGACTACATGGTTTAACGATTTCAAAGTGTTAAAAAGACATGGGATCATAAATTTTCAACGGGCAATTTGACATTTTACATTCTACGCTTGATCTTAATATGACAAAAATGTAGTTATTTTAATTTATTGTTGCAAAAAAGGCATTATCAATTTGTCAATTTTTTTTTTGCTTATAATATTTATTTGATATTCACAATTTTTCATTATTATTCTCATAAATAATTGTTTAGCTTATTTCAAAATAGACAATGTTTAAATTAACGTTAACTGAAGCTAACAACGTTTAAAACTACCACTAACTGAAGCTATCCATGTTTGTAACTACCATTAACTAAAACAGTCAACGTTTAAAATTACCATTAATTGTATTTCTTAAAGTTTGTAACTATACCATCACTGAGATATTATCGATTTGCTACAAATTATATTGAAGCTATAAACGTTTAAAAGTACCATTAAGTGAAGTTACCAACATTTAAATTTCCATTAATTGAAGATATTAACGTTCAAAGTTACCAATGTTGAAATTTATTATTAATTGCAGTTATTAACGTTCAAAACTACTAATAATTGAAGCTGTCAACGTTTCAATCTATCATTATTCGAAGCTACCAACGTTTAAATTTCCATTTTTTGAAAATATTAACTTTCAAAGCTACCAACGTTTAAAATTATTATTAATTAAAGTTATCAACGTTCAAACCTACCATTAATTGAAGCTGTTAACATTTAAAACTACTATTAATTGAAGCTACCAACATTTAATTATAATTATTTGAAGATATTAGCGTTCAAAGCTATCAATGTTTAAAATTATTATTAAATGAAGTTATCCACGTTCAAAACTACCATTAATTGAAGCTGTCAACGTTTAAAACTTCTATTAATTAGAACTACCAAAGTATTAACTGACATTAATTAAAGATATTTACGTAGAAAGCTACCAATGTTTAAAACTATTATTAATTGAAATTATCAACGTTTAAAACTACCATTAATTGAAGTTATTAACGTTTAAAATTACCAATAATTAAAGCAGTCAACGTTTAATTACCACTATTTGAAGATATTAACGTTCAAAGCTACCAATGTTTAAAACTATTATTAATTGAAGTTATCAACGTTTAAAACTACCATTAATTGAAGCTGTTAACGTTTAAAACTACCAAAAATTAAAGCTGTCAACGTTTAATTACCATTATTTGAAGATATTAACGTTCAAAGCTACCAGTGTTCAAAACTACTAATAATTGAAGTTAACAACGTTTAAACTATCATTACTTGAAGCTACCAACGTTTATTCTTCCATTATTTAAAGATATTAACTTACAAACCCACCAACTTTTGAAATTATTATTAATTGAAGTTATCATTGTTCAAAACTACCATTAATTGAAGCTGTTATCATTTAAAACTACTATTAATTAGAACTACCAAAGTATAAACTGAGTTTAATTAAAGATAATAACGATAAAAGCTACCAATGTTTAAAACTATTATTAATTGAAGTTATCAACGTTTCAAACTACCATTAATTGAAGCTGTTAACGTTTAAAACTACCAATAATTAAAGATGTCAACGTTAAATTACCACAATTTGAAGATATTAACGTTCAAAGCCATCAATGTTTAAAACTATTATTAATTGAAGTTATAGACGTTTAAACTACCATTAATTGAAGCTGTTAACGTTTAAAACTACCAATAATTAAAGCTGTCAACGTCATTCTATTTGAAGATATTAACGTTCAAAGCTACCAGTGTTTAAAATTACTATTAATTGAAGTTATCAATGTTTAAAACTACCATTATTTGAAGCTACCAACGTTTAATCTTCCATTATTTGAAGATATTAACGTTCAAAGCTACCAATGTTCGAAATTATTATTAATTGAAGTTATCAACGTTTTAAACTACTATTAATTGAAGCTGACAACGTTTAAAAATACCATTCACTGAAGCTACCAACGTTTAAACTTCCATTATTTGAAGAAATTACCGTTCGAAGCTACCAACGTTCAAAACTACCATTAATTGAAGCTGTAAACGTTTAAATCTACAATTAATTGTAGCTACCAACGTTTAAACTTCCATTACTTGAAGATATTAACGTTCAAAGCTAGCAATGTGTAAAATTATCAGCGTTTAAAACAACCATTAATTGAAGCTACCAACGTTTAAGCTTTCGTTAGTTGCAAATATTAACTTTCAGAGCTATCAATGTTTAAAAATACAATTTATTGAAGTTATCAACGTTTAAAAACATCACTAATTGAAGCTATAAACAGTTTAAAGAGCTATTAACTGTCACTTTGAATGTTTATAACAAAAATTAATTGAAGCTATCAACGGTTAAACAATAATTGAAGCTATCATTGTTGAATGTAATCAATAATTATAATCAATTACAATTAATTTGTTTTTATTTTGTAATAAAAGGTCAATGATCTTAAAATGTAATCTAAAGACATTTACGATGCAAAAACATTGATGCGAGGACGTGGGTTTTTTTTTTCACAACGAAAAGTAAGATGTAACGAAAAGTCAAGAGATAAAGTAAAAGAAAGATATACATTAAACACGTGTTGTAAAGTGTAGGTTTTATGTAACAAATAAGAAGCATGTTATTGGGTCATTTAGTATAACTGAAACGGGTGCCGCTTTTATGCCAGCAAAACACACGTATGTACATATACACATATAGGGAATATAAGTATATACGAGAGAAGAACCCTTTCCAGTGTATATATATATATATACAAGTCTTCCGACTTTCACATCGAAACCAATGGACCCTATATACGCAGGTTTATATACACAGGTATATTTACTAACACGCGGTTTTTTTGCACCTACGCGTCAATTTAACACAGCGTCCAATCGTTGTCGCCCCCGCAGACGGAAATGGGTTGCAAATCGGAGAATCAGGATTTATTACGCAATTATATCTTCCTTACTTACACGACTTCCTCCGCGCTAATATCCACCAAAGTTTATAATCTCATGTTTCTTTATTACCCAAAAAAAAGAAAAAAAATGGATAAATTACACTTTTCTCTAATTTTATTCGAATGATACATCAAAGATATTTCTCAGCAATGAGGAAAATTTTGTTGTGATGGACCAAATAAGACTCATCACTGGTTTAAATTCGTTTCGTATTTGTTTTTACTTCGAATCATTTTGTCTTGAAAATAGAAATTTGCGTAATCGCTCTTGAAATGGAGTTTCAAATGAAGTGAGAAAACGATGATTAGTTAAATTCTTGCCATTTTTGGGAAAAGAAGCTTTGGTGAAAGATTTTCATATAAAAATTTTTATAAATTATTTACAGACAGAGAAAAAGGGTGGAAAAAAAATAGTTTCTTAAGGGCAACTAAAATTTTTTACTGCGTCAATAAAATTTGTCTTACCCCAAAAAACAAAAATTACTAATTGTTAACTAATTGGTTTTCACTTTAGATATTTTGTTATATATTTATAGTATAAATAAATGTCAGCAATTGAAAAATATGTACTTCATAAATTTTCTTTATCTTGTCTAGTAAGGTGGAAAGCTCCACATGTGGTAATTAACGTTCGTTAATTGCCGGTACGTGCAGATAAGTATATTCAATATATATATATATATATATATATATATAGTGGTGGTAGGTGCGTGGATGTGTGTTATACGATTCGCTATACCACTATATTGCGCGCGCGATTCATGCAATTTAATTCAGACATCAGTTACGCACGATTGAGTCTCTCAAAGAGTCTTTGGTATTGAATATGACAGCCACTCGTCGGTTCATTTCAAAGCCCAATAAATCTTTTTTAATACACGATTTGTGATGAAAATTAGCTTCAAATTAAATTAATAATTAATTAAATTAAATAATTAAATAAATTAAATAATTAATGATTATTAATTAATATCTTTATTTCCCAAGTTGTATGTAATATTACAGCTTACCTTAGTTTATTCAAATAACATCATAAACATAAAATTATATTATAAGTTATTTAGCTCATTGGTTAGAACTCTCGACTCGTATGCATTGGGTTCGGGGTTCGATTCTCAGCTGGGGTGCATTTTTTCGTAAAAATTATTTTCTATTAATATTACTGTAATAGTACAGTAATATTACTGTAATAGTACAGTAATATTACAGTAACATTCTTGTAATATTACTTGAGTATTACAGTAACATTATTCTAATATTACCTTAAAATTAGTATTACAGTAATATTACTCGGTAATGTTACTACAATATTACAGTAATATTACTAGGTAATGTTACTACAATATTACAGTAATATTACCTGGTAGCATTACTGTAAAATTAATGTAATATAAAAATGTTAAGTATAACAAACTAGCTTCAATGATAAATGAAAAATAATACGAAAATATTAATATAATATTACTAATATAACAATTAATATACAATATTACTAATTAATATTACTAATATTAATATTAGTTATCAATTTCTATTAACAGTATAAAATATTATTTGGAACTGTTAATAGCTAAAGTACCAGCTAATAATTGCCATACTATTTTCTTTTTGATAATTTTCTTTATCAATAATTAAAGCTACAAACGTCAATGAAAATAGTTTTCAACTATCATTAAAGCTATTTTATTCAATTTAATTTTTTTTGTTGTAATTTATACATGTAAAAGAATAGAAAAAAAATTGATTGCCAGTGAAGCTAAGTGAAGTTTTTTTTTTCTTCTTTTAATTTCAGATTCGCTGATACATACTGCAACAATTACAAGTTTAGCATTTTTCTTGAGTTCTGGTTTAACTTCCGTGACTGCTGCTCCCTCATACAGTCATCGAAGTATTATATCTGAAGCTATCGATATGGAACCTTGGGTACAACCCTGTGGAACACCAGTCGCTGCACCCTTAAGGAAAATACCTCAACGACACAGTGTTCATCGTGCATTAAAAAGGGTACGAACACAATTAAGGGTCGCACAAGAACATCTACGAAAGGACATCAAGGATATTCACGAAATTTATTCAAAAGTAATTTTTATTTATTAATTTTAATCCAATATATTTCTTCAATAAAAAAAAATAGCGAAATATATTTATAAAAAAATAAATTGAATTAAATTATTATTAATAAATAGTATTTATTTTTTAAATATATTCTAATGAGATACATAATGTGAATATTTAGTGTCATATGACAATTTTCATAATTTCTGTTTGAATATATATTTTGTTTAATGTAAACTCAATCATTTGAAGTGCTTTTGAAGCGCGATGATGATATAATTAGTGAAAGATGTCAACGTCATTGTGCAAATTGTTTCGAATTCACTGTGAGAATAATTCGCAAAAGTTCTTATTGAATATCAGGTGTCTACATAAATAAGAGATAAGAGAGAGAGGCTGAGTTTACGTAATATTTTGCACCAGCTTAACATCATAGCTTTTGTAACTAGATGACAGTTATTATTGTTTTGTCTAAAGTGTACACTTCAGAGGCGACATTAAGAGGCGTCAGCACAGCCTTCCCTGTGGTCCAGCCATTATCTTTTATTCTTTTATTTTTTTTTTCCCTTCTTTTTCTTCTTCACTCTTCATTTTTAATGTTCATCATTTCATAACAAGGTGTTTTCTCACGACAATGTGTCTCTCATCTTGATTCAATAAGTTGGTGCGAATAAATTAATGTAAAATTTTGTTTTACTATTTATACTATAACCTTCAAGATTATTTTACTACCTTATATTTAGTTTTAGCAAATTTTAAGAATATTTTACAACCTTACGAAGTATTCTACAACCTTATAGTTTGTTTCACAATCTTAAAAAATACTTTACAGCCTTTAAGTTTATTCTATAACCTTAAAAATTACTCTACAACCTTCTATTTAGTTTAGAAATCTTTAAGAATACTTTACAACCTTACGAAGTATTCTACAACCTTCTTTTTAGTTTAGCAACCTTTAAGAATACTTTACAACCTTTAAGTTTATTCTATAAGATTTATGATTATGCGACAACCTTCTATTCAGTTTAGCAACCTTTAAGAATACTTTACAACCTTTTGAAGTATTCTACAACCTTACGAAGTATTCTACAACCTTATAGTTTGTTTCACAACCTTAAAAAATACTTTATAACCTTGAAATTTATTCTATATCCTTCAAGATTATTCTACAACGTTCTATTTAGTTTTAGCAATCTTTAAGAATACTTTACAACCTTTCGAAGTATTCTACAACCTTAGGAAGTATTCTACAATCTTACAAAGTATTGTACAACCATAGGAAGTATTCTACAACCTTATGAAGTGTTCCACAACCTTTGGAAGTATTTTACAACCTTACAAAGTATTGTACAACCTTAGGAAGTATTCTACAACCTTACAAAGTATTGTACAACCTTAGGAAGTATTTTACAACATTACAAAGTATTGTACAACCTTAGGAAGTATTCTACAACCTTACAAAGTATTCTAAAACCGTTAGAAGTATTGTACAACCTTAGAAAGTATTGTGCAACCTTAGGAAGTTTCCTACAATCTTACAAAGTATTCTACATCCTTTAGAAATATTCTACAACCTTTAGAAGTATTTTACAAACTTATGAAGTGTTCCACAACCTTTAGATGTATTTTACAACCTTCTATTTAGTTTTGGAACCTTAAAAAATTCTTTACAACCTTTCGAAGTATTCTACAACCTTACAAAGTATTGTAGAACCTTAGGAAGTATTGTACAACTTTAGGAAGTATTGTGCAACCTTAGGAAGTATTATGCAACCTTACAATGTATTCTACAGCCTTTAGAAATATTCTACAACCTTTAGAAGTATTTTACAACCTTAGAAAGTATTGTACAACCTTAGGAAGTATTCTACAACCTTACAAAGTATTCTAAAACCTTTAGAAGTATTGTACAACCTTAGGAAGTATTGTGCAACCTTAGGAAGTATTCTACAACCTTTAGAAATATTCTACAACTTTTAGTAGTATTTTACAACCTTATGAAGTGTTCCACAACCTTTAGATGTATTTTACAACCTTCTATTTAGTTTAGGAACCTTAAAAAATTCTTTATAACCTTTCGAAGTATTCTACAACCTTACAAAGTATTGTAGAACCTTAGGAAGTATTGTACAACCTTAGGAAGTATTGTGCAACCTTAGGAAGTATTCTGCAACCTTACAATGTATTCTACAGCCTTTAGAAATATTCTACAACCTTTAGAAGTATTTTACAACCTTAGGAAGTATTCTACAACCTTATGAAGTGTTCCACAACCTTTAGAAGTATTTTACAATCTTCTATTTAGTTTAGCAACCTTAAAAAATTCTTTGCAATCTTCAGGTTTATTCTATAACCTTTAAGATTATTTTTACTCCAATATCTTCTATTCTCTGAAATAAAAATTTCGCGATTCCGTGTCCTTTCACATATCAGCCAAAGAACATGTGACTTAAAATAACTTGAGAGAATGAATAATGCTACCAATCAGCAAAAAAAAAAATATTAACATTTATATATACATATATGTATATCTGTGGGAGCGAAAAATCTCTTAAGTTAATTACGTCACATATTCTTGGAAATGAAATGAAGATGAGACAGATGTTTAGAGTAGTGTTCGCTGCGTTAGCTTATGCTTGATAGAAAAAAAAGGTGTTGAAGTAATGCGCAATGAGATATTGGATCATGTCATCATACTTCAAACAATATAAATCCTATATATGGACTTTCTCATTTTCTAGGTGTACAAAGTGCTGAAGGAGCAACAATACCGAATGTCCTGGTTACCCGAGAAACAACTCGATTGGTATCATCGTGAATTATGGTGTTTGGAAAAAAGTAAAAAAGCAGAAAAAGCACTTCCACGTTTACACGATGCCCTACAAAGGTTCGCCATTACATTTTATCATTTGAGAGCATTTCGTCTCAAATCAAATATTAATGCCGAGCTCACAATGAGCAGGAGGAATGAGATTATTGATGGAATGTACAACGAAGTGCGAAGGGTAAGATTCTCTCTTATCTTCTCATCAATTTTAATTCAATTTCAATTCTAAATTTTTTTTTAAATTAAATTATTAAATTACATTAATTAAATTTAATTACATATCTTTTCATTGAATTGAATTTTTATTTTTTTTTTCATGAAAATTTTGAAAATAATTTTTTTTAATTTGTTTTTGTTTTTAATTATTTACAGACGTTGTGCGAAGTGGAAACGGCAATTTTCAATTTAGGATTACAATTGCCAACAACTCATAAGGCAAATATTGTGACGGAAAGTTCAAATTGGGCCGAGGAGGGTGATTTGACATTAATGTTAATTCAAGACTCGGGTGTATTGCGACTCTATAGAGATTTTCTCAACGATTGGACAAGAGCATTTCGTAATGCAACTGCAATTGGACCCGGTACATGTGATCCAAATATGATTAAGCCCCTCATTTATAAATCGAAAAAGACAAAAAAAGAATTTCAACAACATAAAAAAAAACCGAAAAATCCATTAAAAAAACAAAATAATGGACAAATTAAAAAAAATTTGTCTTTTAATAATAGAAATCGACAATTTTTACAAAATATGCGATGGGGATTGAGAAGAAGATTAGGTAGCAATAAACCAAGGACGACTGACAATTGAAAAAAAAAAAATTTTAATTTTTCTCCGAAGTACCTTTTTTTTTATATATAAAATTACTCTTCTTTTTTGTACTTAATTTTTTTTTTCTACTTAAAATGAAATTATAAAGTACTTTTAAAATTAAGATATTTTTTTGTGGATGTTGGGACATATTTTTTTTGTCCTTGGTAATTGCAATTATATAGGTAAAACAGTATTACAAGATCTTGAGTTCTGAACGATTAAACAGTATTATATGTATGTTGTTTAAAATACGAAACTTTTTTTTTTTTTTTATTTTATTTCTGATAAACGTGAAAATGGCGCAAATGATTTTAGAAAATACAATTATTATTTAGATTTGAATTGTAAACAAATTTCCAGGTCACAAAATTTAAAAAACTATTTTTTTGTAATACAGTCAAACCTTGGTTAAAGGACCCACTGAATTTTATGGAAGTTATTAAGTAAAAATTATTTCAAAAAAATTTCGTGAAAAATATATTGCAAAATAATACAAAATTTTGCAATTCTCGGAGAATTTTATGTTTGCAATATTCTTAACGAGGGATTAGTGTATAAAAAACAATTAAAGAAGAATTACATGATTTTATAATAAAAAATTAAAATTTCGTATTCAAATTAAATTTAGCTATTAATTAGAAAAAGTCAATACAGTGAAACCTGTTCAAGTGAGATTTTTTTTTATTTAATCCCACTTAAAGAGGTATTTCACTATAAATAAAAATATTTCCATATAAATATTCTTGTAATTGAGATTTCGTTTACTGTCCCATTTAGCCAGGTTTGACTGTATACATATTCAAATTTATCATATATAGTACAAGACTGTATTATGTAAAGATAATTATTATGTATCGCGAAAATTTTTGTATTATATATATACAATTCAAAATTGTATTATAATTTTCTGTATTATTGTATTTACTTTATTTTTAAGGCACCGACTCTCGTGTAATTTATTTATTTGTAACTTCATCGCACATTTAGTGTCGAAGGCTTGAAGTTGAAAGCTGTGATATGATTCTCGTATGTGGACACTACAAAGTTCCTACGTTTTCTTTTTTTTCTTAGCTATTGTACAGAAAGATTTTAATAAGTTTTATATATATTTTTAAAAAAAATTGTATACTTTACAAATAGAGGCATATTAGGTATACCAATATACGTAAGTTCAGTATTTTTCTTTCAGCATTTTTACTATAATTAAAAATTCGACTTTTTGTGATATAAACGTTTCCAAAAAAAAAAACTACTATAATTTTCCGATCGTATTTTTATAAATAATTAATAAATTATTATTCTAAAAATTAGAAAATCAAAATTATTATTTAAATTGTTAAAAAAAAGTTTACTAATTTAAATAGTTACTTTGGAAATGTAAATGTTTTTATTAAAAAACTATTTTTTTAAAATAATTATTATATATGAAAATTTAAAAAATTGCGAAATTGTTTATAAAAAATAATCATGACATTTTGGGATTAGAAATCTACAAAAGAAATGCAAGTGCAAATTAAAAATCAGAATATTTTTTACGACTTTTGTATAAATTTTATAACGTCGTGTAAAAAAAAAAACGTATTTCTGTATGAAAATATATTTTGAAAAAATAATTTATATCACAATTTTTTTTTTTAAAGAAAATCTTCGCAATATCATATAGGATAACAATTTTTTTTTCTTATAAACATTTTTATATTTTATATATATATATATATTGCACACATTCCATAACATTTTATTATTTATTCTATCACGTTACCATTGCACATATTTTACATATTATTTATTGCCATTTTTTTTCTTTCTCTGTGTAATCGTTAAAAATAAAAACACAATTTTTTTTTTGCATTAAATGGAATTTGTAATAAAATTATGTGTCTATATTTTTATATTAACCTGATGCCTAATTATAAAGAGCCTATAAAGTAGAATTACTATTTGAAATATTAAAAGTGTAAAAAAAAATTTACAATGAATATTTGGAATTTTACAGCTATGGAATTTTTTTAAACTTTATCCTAAAATTATGTAACTTTCGAGTATTTTTACAGTAAGTATCAGGAAAACAGAAGAGGAGTATTACATTCATGTAACATGATCGATACCGCGGGGAGGATGTAACCTACATTTACAGGAAAATTTAGTTTTTCCATTTTTCAAAAAAAGAAAATTTTTTTCATTATTAAATTAGATTTTTGTTATAATTTAATTAGATCATGAAAATGTCATAGTCAATTAGAAAATATATTAAGAAAAGTGTAAATTAGAATTTAAAAATTATTTTTATTTACATAAAAATTTTTTTTTTTTTTTAAATAAATAATTTGTGAATTTTTTTTTTTTTTGAGAGAATAAATTATTTTACGATGATTGAGAATATTTGACTTTTTTAATTGTCTTAGGGATAAGTGTGATTTTTAGCAAATGTGATAAGAGAATTTTTCTTTGTAAAGGTTAAATTTGAAAATACGAGTAAAGTTTTTGAAAGGGCATGTTGAAGTAACAGGAGGCCACGGTGTGCTGCAAGCTCGCAAGCACGTTACACCGTTACAGGTGTGCGCAGTCCTGTAAATCGATTTATATCCCTCCACTGTATTTGATGCTTCGCCTGATAGTTGCGCAAACTTTATCATTTTATTTTCCAAAATGTCGACGGAAAACTCTCATAATATACACACAAATCGCACAAAAGTTCGAATTATTATTTTTAAATTCAATTTTTTGGTAAATTAAAAATTAATTTGCAAAATAAAAAAATGTTTTGGAAAAAATTTTTATTTTAAAAAAAAGTAATGCAATTTTCAAGCGTTAAAAAGAAAATAATTACAATAATTATAAAATTAATAATTAAGAGGAATTTTCAAATTATAATACAAAATAATTTTAATTATATTTAATTGTAAAATTAAAACAAATTTGAAGTTGAAAAATTTATAATATTGAAGAAATTATAAACAATGATAAGAATTTAAAATTTATAAATATTAATTTATATTATGAAATATCTTTTTAATATTGACTATAGAAATTATGGTTAAAGAATGAAATATTATTTTCAAAATTATTTATTTACCCGTACATGGTAAATAAATAAATAAATAAATAAATAAATAAAATTAAACAATTAGGACAATGACAAAAACAAACTTTTTTTTGTAGTTTTTGCCACAGATCGCGCAACAATAATTTATTTGCTCGATAATTCTGTGCAGTTGTTTGATTAGTCATAGAGATAGAGATCTCATCTTATCAGTGCGCGTGTGGCATAATGCGAATTAAAATAGGTTAATATTGAAAGATATCTAAATCTATTGGAAATTCTCTGTATTTTCACGGAAGGTTAGTAACCGTTGTAATTGTGCTCTTTTTTTCCCCCCTCTATACTTTTGAATATTTTTATTTTGCAACATACTTTCATGATTTATAGAAATGGAATTTTAATAACAAATTGTAAAAATTTATTTACGATAAATTCGTTTATTTTTGTATTTTATATTTATTTTTTTATCTATTTTTTTATTTGTTTATATAATTTTTTAAATTTGTTTATATATTTTTTAATTTGTTTATATATATATTTTTTAAATTTGTTTATATTTTTTTTTAAATTTTTTATATTTTTCGCCTATTGCCTTATATTTTTTTAATATTTTTTTTTTCCAATGAAATTTCACTTTTAATCCACGCGAATATTTTCGCGCTTGTCAATGATATACAATCATGATAAAAAATTATTGAACCCTTGATGAATCATTTTTTATTTTAATTATTAATACTCCAAATTAGATTGAGTCCAGGAATTGATCACATAAACAATTTTCTTTTCCAATTTCTATATAGGAAAATAAATGTCAAAACAGAAAATTGAATTTTTTTTTTATTATAAAATTAAATAATAATTATTAAGTAATAAAAAATAGAGAAATAAAAATATGTAACAAAAATAATAAATAAAAATATATAAAATAATAATGAATACAAAAATAATGTTGTTATAAATAGTAATGAAAGAAAGAAAAAAAACAATAAACAATTGTTCTAACTTGTGTAAAATGAATATTTCATTGTTTTCGAGAACCAAACAAAAAAAATTATTTATCATTAAGGTCAAATTGATATTTTCTCCTTTATAATGGAATTAAACACGGTGGATTTTTCCTGATATTGATAATTCATTTCGTAAATAGTCCATATATTGTCACACCCAGAGAAATTTTATATTTTTCCCACAGGCAAATAAATATTTATTTGATTCAAATTTTTTTAATTGATTTAAAATTTAAATAAATATTTATTTGATTTAAATTTTTTAATTGATTTAAAATTTAAATAAATATTTATTTGATTCAAATTTTTTAATTGATTTAAAATTTAAATAAATTTTTATTTGATTTAAATAAAAAATTATATTTACGACAAATAAATAGGCTAGTTGGCTGTGTGACAAATATACGTTTATTTAATTCAAATATATTATATTTGATTCAAATAAAACGTTTCTCTGGATGAAGGAAATAATTTTTAATTAATTATATATTTAAAAATAATAATGTTATATATATATATATATTAAAAGCAGCATTTGTACTGTGTATCGACAATTGACATAATGTTTGATAAGAGGGTTGGTTTTGTCATGACGTCAATGAAAGATGTATTTATTCTTTTTTTTTGAAATTTTACTGCTATGTAATACTTAAACCTTAAAAAAAAATGGGATAAATTCAAATCCGATGGGGATTTTCTCAATTGACGTCAAGATGATCTAAAATTTAGATAAAAAGAAAAGAATAGTTTTTTGAATGATTATTTTGACTCATCAAATATGTACCGTAATTTTAACTATATTTCATCATATTAGTTCACCGAAAGGTAGAGAACAAATAAACCTATATTATACATTACGCACTCTATAATTGTGTGTATATCTAATCTTACAGGTTTTAACAGATTTCAACTTATTGCATGATTTTTCGACAATTTTTTTTATTGCACCTATTATTAAAGAAAAAAAATGTAATCACTGTTTTTTTTTTTCTTTTAATTATTTTATTGTTTAAAATTTTTTCTAGTTTTCTGTAAATTTATTATAAATGTAGTTTTAGTAATTTTATTATTGTATTCTTCTGAGTAGTTTTTTTCATTCTTAATTTAATTCACCTAGAACAGGGAAACATTTCACTGAAGCAGCAAAAATTTTTACTTGTTTCAATTAAATATTTCGCTATTTCCAGTAAATTTTTTTTTCCCTATTTATAATTAAAATTAAAAAAAAACTGTTGATAAGTAAAAATAAATGATGAATAAAAAATCAAATTCTATTTTTAAAAAAATAATTTCAGTAATTTTTTCCTCTGTTTTTCAAAATTTCACCGTTTTCTCGAAAATTTTCCTTAATTAGATAAACTCTATAAATGGACATGTACGCATAAAGTGTAAACTTTCAGGTATAAAACTGTCATCTCACGTTCAAGTTCATTCAATATTTTTTTTTGTTAGTTCAGTTTTTGTTAGAATTTCTCAATGAGAACGTCAACTGACGTCAAGAATCGAGGTTCATTTTTGAGAATTACTTTTCCAAGACTTTTGCTTTCGTATACATATACATTTCTTTTTTAACTCATTCTCAAAATTTTTTTTGAGAGAAATTAATTTTTAAAAAAAAAGTAATGAAAAAAAAAAGAAAAATAGAATTAAAAAAAAACATTTATCATTAAAATTTTCCTTTTTTTCTTCTTTTTTTGTAACATTCCAAAGAGACAGGTAATATTGGAAATTGGAGATAATTTCAGTGCATTTCTGTTGACAGTAAATATATCCTCACCGCGAAAAATGAAACAGGTGATTCCCAATGTAACCTTTACTATAATAATCTTGCACATTCATTGCTTCACTTTATCTTTCAAACTATGAATATAACTTCCTGTCATGCCAATATCATTCCTTTATCATTTCTTTATCATTCTCATATTTTACACATATTATTTTTTGTATAAAATTTTGTTATCAAATTATGTCTCCTTTTTTCACATTCTTACGTTTTACTATATATATAATAAAAAAAGAAATTGAGTATCAGTTGTATAATTTATCACTCAATGAAAATTCCAAGAGGTGCGTACCTACTTCACAGGTAGGTATAAGGTTTTTCTAATTGAGTCATCATCAATTTTCACTAGAATAGAAAACATTCTTATTTAATGAATAAATATTCAATTGCCATAAAAAAAAGAATCTTGTTTGTCATTGTGATAATAAAATTGATAGAAAGAAAATTGGAAAATCAAATTTCTTCTAGAACGAAGGAAATTATAAAAAAAAATGTTTTTTTATGGGATTTATTCTTTTTTAATTTAACTCTTTTTATCTAAAAGTACACGTTTTTCACAACCTATTTCTCATTCCCATTGGAATCTATTAATAAATGATTTTATTAATCACTTTAGAGATTATCAATCTATTATATAATATGTTATTGTGTCGAGTGTCAATAAATGATTAATGGATAATTATTAAATTAATTAATAGTAAAACTATACACAAACTATTTTGCCGGTGTAGAAATTGTTCTACTCGGGCCTTAGTAGGGAATGGAAAGCCACAACTGATTAGGGCCAAATCAGGGCGTTCAGAAAACTTGGACTCGTACGTAACCAGTAATATTTGGAACCTACAGTAGGACATAAACAATCGTATTTAGAACCTACAGTAGTTAGAACTTACAATAATTACAACATACTATAGATATAACCAATAGTAGTTATAACCTACAGAAATTACAACCTACAGTAGTTTGAACCTACAGTAGGACGTAACCAATAGTATTTAGAACCTACAGTAGTTAGAACCTTCAGTAATTACAACCTACAGTATTTAGAACCTCCAGTAGGACTTAACCAATAGTATTTAGAACCTACAGTAATTACAACCTACAGTAGGACGTAACCAATAGTATTTAGAACCTACAGTAGTTAGAACCTACAGTAATTACAACCTACAGTAATTACAACCTACAGTAGGACGTAACCAATAATAATTAGAACCTACAGTAATTACAACCTACAGTAGGACGTAACCAATAGTATTTAGAACCTACAGTAGTTAGAACCTTCAGTAATTACAACCTACAGTATTTAGAACCTCCAGTAGGACGTAACCAATAGTAATTAGAACCTACAGTAGTTAGAACCTTCAGTAATTACAACCTACAGTATTTAGAAACTACAGTAGGACTTAACCAATAGTATTTAGAACCTACAGTAATTACAACCTACAGTAGGACGTAACCAATAGTATTTAGAACCTACAGTAGTTAGAACCTACAGTAATTACAACCTACAGTAGGATGTAACCAATAGTAATTAGAACCGACAGTAGTTAGAACCTTCAGTAATTACAACCTACAGTATTTAGAACCTACAGTAATTACAACCTACAGTAGGACGTAACCAAAAGTATTTAGAACCTACAGTAGTTAGAACCTACAGTAATTACAACCTACAGTAGGACTTAACCAATAGTATTTAGAACCTACAGTAATTACAACCTACAGTAGGACGTAACCAATAGTATTTAGAACCTATAGTAGTTAGAACTTACAATAATTACAACCTACTATAGAGATTACCAATAGTGGTTATAACCTACAGTAGTTACAACCTACAGTAATTACAACTTACAGTAGGACGTAACCAATAGTATTTAGAACCTACAGTAGTTAGAACCTACAGTATTTACAACCTACAGTAGGACGTAACCAATAGTATTTAGAACCTACAGTAGGACGTACCCAATAGTATTTAGAACCTACTATAGATATAACCATAATAGTAGTTTTAACTTGCAGTAGCTACAACCAATAGTAGTTACAACCTTCAATAATTCCAACCAATAATTTCAGCTTTGGCAAAATTTCTGCACGGTTGTATATCGAATTTTAACAAACAAATTTTTCTAAACTATTTATTTTTTATTTTTTTAGAATACAAAAAATATAAAAAATATAATATAAAAATATAAAATACTATATAAAATATAAAAAAAAATAATAGAAAATATAATAGAAAATGTAATAGAAAAAATAATAGAAAAAATAAAAAATATATTAAAAAAATTATCTAATATGCATATATACACGAGTGGGTCCTCCTTATATAATCTAAATAATCAAAAATTTTATCATATGCCTCTTCACAAGAAAATGATTTCATATATTTCCAATTAAAATCAATCGAAAAAAAAATCTTCATTTGGTACAATGTATTAATCGCGATATGATCATGAATTTGTCATGTTTAAGGAATCCTTAGATTCAATGATAAGGCCGATAGTAATCTCTTATTATTATTTTTTTTAATAATTGAAATTCCAAGCCCCCGTTTTTCATGAAATTTCACGTATATATAAAGAATTTCGCAGACAGACAGTCTCAATAATCCGCAAGTCCGAATGAAAAAGAAAAAAAAAAAAAATAAAGAAATCACTCGGACAAAATTTCTCCCGCCAGGCACATTACGAATGGCACACGAAACGTCGAACTTACTTGCGTACGTACATCCGATTGTTTACACTTTGCCATGTATAAAGGAGGAAGCATGAAGGTTTGACAATCTCAGTTCACGATCTCACGCCACTCGCTAACATCGTTCACATATTAGTATTTAATCCACTATATCGACTTGTTATCAGTGATCAATACATTAAAAAGTTGATAAATTTTTTTTTAAAAAATAATAATAATAATAATAATAGAGTGCAAAAAAAAAAAATTTTTTTTTGTGAGTCATCAATAAAGTGAAGTTGAATAAAAAAAAAATAAACAAAAATGAATAAAATCAGTGTTGTGTTTTTTCTTTCAATTTTGACAATTGTTTTGACTGCGCCAAGTCGTTTAAAGAGAGCGACGACACCCGCGTGGCATAAACCATGTGGTATGCTTAAGGAAACGGAAGCAACCAGTGGTAATGATGAGGAAGTTAGAATTAGCCTTGAAAGTATTAAACTACTTCATATATTGACTATGAACAATTATTTGAGTCATGATTATGATTTTCTTTATGAACGTGCAAGACGCGGTGTTCATAAGCATCAATATATTCCCAATTGGGTACCCGGCGAGAAGGACGTTAATGCAATTCGAAAATTGTCCAAAGCATCATCTCAAATGGTGAGAATTTTATTAGTTTTTAATTTTTTTTTTTATTATATAAATGAAGGTTTTTGGATCAATTTTTCTTTATCATTATTTATCAATTTATTCTTAATTTGTTTATTAATTAATTTAATTTTAATTTTTTAATTTTTAATTAATTTTTTTTTATTTTTCGGATAATTTTTTTTTTACAATTTGTCAATTAATTGTTAATGAAATAAAATTAAGAAATTGACGAATTTGCAAAAAATGGCCAGAAAGCTTCTTTTTAGTGATATAATTGGAAGGATATAAATAATAACATAATTTTAATTTATTTTGAATTAATTTAATTTATTTAATTTTTTTTTTTGTTCTTTGTTACTATTAATATTTTTTACTTTCTTGCTATATTTTTTTCTATTTATCTTCATCTTATCTTCCTTTTTGTACTTCTTCATTTTATTAATTTGTAATTTTGTCTATAGTTTGTATTTTCTTTTTCATTTATTTTTAATTTGCCCCTTACATTTTAAATTTCCTTTTCCCCCTTTAAAAAAATCTTCACCTGGAACAGCCATAAGTTTCTCTGGAACAGCGAAATATTTCTCTAGAATAGCGAAAACTTCTTCTTCTTCTTCTTTTTCTTCTCCTTCTTCTTCTTCTTCTCCTTTTTCTCCTTCTTCTACTTCTTCCTCTTCTTCTATTTTTATCCCGACCTCTATTTCTGTTATTAGATTTTCCCATTTTTTATTATTATTTCTTCTTTTACTCCTTTCTTCTTTTTCTTCAATTTTTTTCTTCCATTTTTATTTTCTTTTATAACTACTATTTTTTTTCTTCTAGTTATTTTAATTGTTCTCTTCGATTTCTTTTTCTCTCTTTATTTTCTTCCATAATTACTGATTCTCTTCTTTTTTCTACTTCTTCAATTTTTCATTGCGTTTTTTTTATATTTCGCTTCTTCTTCTTCTTCTTCTTCTTCTTCTTCTTCTTCTTCTTTCTTTTACCGACGAAAGTAATAATTACACTATACTTTTTTAGCACTTCTACAATGAATTTTCTTTTTATCTACTTATCTACAAAAAAACTTATTTTTCAATTTTTTACTCCTTTTTTTATTTCTACTATTTCTTCATTTATTTAATTTTCTAACCTATTTTCTACTGTTTCCTCTGTATCTTTTACATCTTCTTCTTTTTCATCTCACTCAATATTTCTTTATTGATTTCTTACTGAATTTTCTTCTTCTATTACTAGACTTTTTTCTTTTTACTTTTTCTATATACTTATCCCCAAATAAAGGAAATATTATTATTATTTTTATAATAAATTGCAAATTTATTTTTATATTCAAAATTTAATTTTTCTTCTTTCTCCCATATATTTGTTGATACATTTTTCTGAATTTCATTATGTTTATTTTCTCTTATTGTTTATATGGAAAAATTCATGAAATATTGTTCTTAAAAGTATAATATATAAAATTTTTTGAGAATGTTTTTTTGACTGCAAATAAGTATCCTGCTGAGAAAGCATTCTCAGAGAGAAATTTGTATATTTGTCCGTTTTATAGTTTCTTTTTTTCCTCTGAGCCTTCAATTATTGAACTCGCATCGATACTGGGAAAATTTATATTTCACCAAAAAAAAAAAAAAAACTAAAGAATTCAAAAACAGATTCTCAATTTTAATTAATTTCAAGAGAGATTTTTTTGGTTCTTTTTCTTTACATTCCTCTGTATCATTTTTTTTAGAAAGAAAAAATATTACAAAAAAAAAATTTATAAAAATTAAAAATTTTAATAAAATTAATAATTTAATAAAAATAAAAATATATTTTAAAATAAAACCAAAACTTGAACAGTAAATAATAATGAAGAAAATTGTAAAGTTTTGAAAACTTACAATATTAGTAAATTAGATTTAATATATATGCAACAGTGAAGTAGATTAATATTAATGAATTATGCATTTCACCATGATCATTAATATTCATTTGCTCTGTGAGTTCATAAGCACGTGGAGGGTTGTATTTAGTCTCCCTCTCTCTATATAGAGGAGGAGAATGTATAATATTCGCGATATTGGCCCCCGTGAAAATTGAATTATTTGGTCCAGCGAAATGTTTGTTTTGAATAAAGATAAACACGTGGTACATATGTATCGCTTTTTGCCCCAAACATAAATTGTGCTTGCAATTGATTAACGTTAAATAACAAATTTTAATGAGACAGTAATTATTATAAAGTACCAGGGTAACAGGAAAGCGGTGGTCGGTTCTCGCAATGCGCGCGTATAGCCTTCTACTCGCCGTGTCTCGCGACTGCGTAATCGGGACTCGAACGCCAACAGAAAACTGATAACAAGTTTCATTCCCTTCACACTCTCCCCCACCCCCATATACACCTCTCATATACAATTCTCTCACAAGTTTGTAATCATTTTACTATTTACATTTCTCTCTCTCTCTCTCTTTCGTTGTAAGTAGTGATGTCAAATAATTCACGTCATTCATCTTTACTCTCACGATAGAATTTTCTAATCGTAAAAAAAATTTTACAAATCATTTTACTATAAATTAATATTTTTTTATTATTAATTTTTTCCTTCTTAAAATTGGAGAAAAAATTGAAAAGCTTCTTTGGATTTTCTATTCTAATTAATTTTGTAATTAATTTTGTAATTAATTTTGTAATTAATTTTGTAATTAATATTGTAAGTCATATTGTAATAAATATTCTAATTAATACTCTAATTAATATTCTAATTAATATTACAAATAATGTGCTAATTAATATTCTATTACAATTTCATTTTTGTTCCAATTTTACCTTTTTTTTTATCTGCTTTTCTTTTATTTCTACTCTCAGGGAAAAAAAATTACTTGAAACAACGAAAGGTTTCACTAGAATAGCAAAATATTTAATTGAAACAATAGTAAAACTTTTTACTACTATAGCGAAATGTTTCGCTGTTTTAAGTAAAACTTTTTGCTACTATAGCGAAACGTTTCGCTGTTTCAAATTATTTTTTTTCCTTGCGCGCTAAATTTAAATTAGTTAATTAATTAACTAATGTTTAATTAATTGGAATTTAGCAACTGAATCACTTATGTATGTTTTTTCACTAAAAATTTAGTAACATTTTACTGAACAGTATGGGAATTTTTGCTGATGAAAACAGTAAAATCTGTTTTACCGACAAATGATAATGCAGATTTAACTATTTAAATAAGTAAAAATTCAACTGATTTTCAGAGAAATTTGACTGAATTTTAGTAAAAATATTACTGACTCTCTTAATCTGAATATTAGTGAAAAGTGAGCTACTAATTTAAATTAGTAAGAATTTTCACTAATTTTTAGTCACTTTTTACTAAAAGTTTAGTAAAAAATTGAAAAAATTACTAAATCAAATAGTAATATTTTACTAAAAATTAGTAAAAAAGTTTACTAATTTAAAATTAGTGACTCACTTTTTGCTTCTCAATTAGTAAAATTTTACTAATTATTAGCAACTTTTACTTAAAATTAGTAAAATTTAACTAATTATAAAGCAAAAAGTGAGTCTCTAATTTAAATTAGTAAACATTTTTACTAATTTAGATTTAGAGAGTAGACTAAATAAATGTTTAGATTATTTAAATAAATTTTTCAAACAAAGAAGCAAATTAATTGAACCAAATTAAATTTTTATTTTAATTTTACCTAAATTTTATTTAAATGCAATATTTATTTGATTCAACCAAAATTTGTTTGAATTCAACTAAATGTGATTCAAAATAAATATTCCCTTGGTCTAAATAAACTAAACGTTTATTTAAATAAATTTTTTGGAACAAAGAAGAAATTTGATTGAACTAAATTAAATTTTCTTTTGATTCAACCCAATTTGTTTGATTCAAAGAAATTTTTTTTTTTATTCCAATAATATATATATATATTTTGTCTAAAATAAACGTCTAGTTTATTTTAATAAATTTTTTCGAACAAAGAAATAAATTGATTAAACCAAATTAAATTTTGTTGTTCGTTTTGACAAAAAAATTTGTTTAACTATTTAATTTTTCTGATTCAACCAAAATTTGTTTCTAAATAAATATATTTACTTGGTCTAAATAAACGTCTGGATTATTTTTAATAAAAATTTTCGAAGCAAGAAACAATTTGATTGAGTTAATTAATAAATAATAAATAAAATAATTTTTGTCACTAATGTTAATTAAAATTTTCGTTTTTTTTTCTTTTTGTTCTAGATTGCAAGTCATTTACCAAAATTGCATTTGGATTTGCAAAAATTTGCCGTGGCATTCGAGGAATTAATGGAGGATGAGAGAAATTCAATAATTTCTGATGCCTTAAAAAACACTCATGCTTATCTTATAATGATGCTGTGCGAAGTTGAGACAAACATTGTTCTATTGCCATCATTGCAAATGCCACCAAGAGTCGAAAGAAGTATTATGTCAATTGAGGATCGTGATCCAATTGATGAAACAAGAAGACTTGTTCGTGATTGGGGTATTGTTTTAAAATATCGAGATTATCTTCACAGTTGGCGTCATGTTTTTGATTATTAGAAGAAAAAAAAGAAAATATATTCTCGACAAATTATCAAAATCGTGATATAGAAAAATCTCTATAATATATGTATTTCAAATTGAAAACATTCATGTCCCATATTGTATAATATTCTCAAACCCAAATAAGCCTTAGTGGTCTGTTTTAAGATTTTTCGGGCTGTATAGTGTCTAATTTTTTTTTTCTATTTCTTTTTTTAACTAGGAATTTTTGAAAAAAATATAGATAGCATTTTTCTATTATTTATATTTATTAGACAAAGCATAATGTAGATTAGAATTTTATTTATTTTCAAAAATAGAAAAAAAATTGTTATAGATTTTTTTTTGTTTATTATACGACGAAGCATATATTATTTATTTCATATTTTCAAAAATAGAAAAAAAAATTGTAATTTTAGAATAATTATTTGTTTATTTATTAATCGACGAATAATGTATTCTCTAAATCTGAATTAGTAAAAATGTTTACTAATTTAAATTAGTGACACACTTTTTGCTTTAGAATTAGTTAAATTTTTACTAATTATTAGTAAAAGTTACTAATAATTAGTAAAATTTTACTAATTGAGAATTAGTTAAATTTTTCCCTAATTATTAGTAAAAGTTACTAATACTTAGTAAAATTTTACTAATTGAGAAGCAAAAAGTGAGTCATTAAATTAAATTACTAAACTCTTTTACTAATTCAGATTTAGAGAGTATTTCATTTCAAAAAAATTATTTTTACAATAATTTTTATCATTTTTTTCACGAAAGAAAATTGAATGTGATTTGAAAAAAAAAATTTATCAGAAAAAACTATTGGACTTTTTGATAAATTCAATGAATGACGTGAATAGAATGGTATGATGTAAATGAATTTAGTCTATACACTTGTCGATTGATTTTCTGCATTAAATATATATATATATATAAAACAGGTGCATCGACTATACGTCATAATGACGAAACGATTAGATACCATGTCATAATTATAAAAATATGTATTATCAGTTAAATCATTGCTATTCCAGAACTATAGCCGATTTGTATATATATATATATATATATATATATATATATATATATATATATATATATATATATATTACGAATGATTTATTTATTTTGCTCTCATATTTCTTTTTAATTTTGTATTAAAACTAGTATTTATTTAGACTACGAATTTATTTATTATGTATCGCGAGGCTAAGATATATTTATTATTATTATTATTATTATTATTATTATTATTTATTTGTAAATTTTTGTAAACGAACGAACAAAGAAAAAAAATTATTTATTGCTACGATAATCGATGGACAATTTTGTCAATTGGGCATATAATAGAGATTTCTCAAGGAAATTTTAGAGCTCAAGTGATATTAGCAAATGTGTACTTTAAATAGTATTAGATTTATTTATATGAAAGACACTTTTGCGAAACTTTTTTTTTTTCTGTCGCACTCAGTATTACATCAATGCATTATTATATAATCCATCAAAACATCGGCATTTTATTTATTTATTTATTTATCTGTAGACATTTAGTATTTATTCTTTTTTATATAAAAAAAATTTTTTTTCTTAATAAACTGATTTTCATATTATTATTGATTCTGTGATTTTATTACAAACCCGAATTTTTAAAATTATTGAATTATTATTATTTTCATTATTATTATTATTATTATTATTATTATTATTATTATTATTATTATTATTATTATTATTATTATTATTATTATTACCCAGACAGCATGTAAGCTTGCAGCAACCTGGCGGCAAGCTTGGCGCGCAATATTGCCAACCTTGCAACGGTAAACTTGCCGTAAGCTTACTGGAAGCTTCAAATGTCCCACCTGACCCAAGCTTTCGTGGTAAGCTTACCGGAAACTTGCCGCAAGGTTGCTGCAAGCTTACGTGCTATCTGGGATATTATTATTCTTTTCATTTTCATCATTATAATTATTTACATTTGTAATTATTTCTAAAAATAATTTTGTTTAACTAAAATTAAATTTATCATTGCCATTATAATTATTTCTATACATAGTAAAAAAAAATCAAACAAGTTCCACACATATAAAAATTATGTTAAAATTTTTATTTAATTTATCGTCAAATTGTTATTTAAATTTTAAATTATATTTAAATTTATCTTTTTTAGTTCTTTTTTAGAAAGAAAAAAAAATTCCTTTTCAGGTATATTGTCATATGTATAATTGTTATAAGAAGAAAATACCATTTTACTAAAAATTTAGTAATCACTGATTTTCAACATTATAATAAAGTGAAGAAATAAAAAAAAAATTTTATAATTTAAATTTTAATTATTTTAAATAAAACAAAAAATATAAAAAATTTTCTTCTTTTATTATATAGTTTTAAAATGTTTAAAATTACGACATCTATCAACGAGCGTGGGAAATCATTAAATATGATTTTAAAGATAAAGAAAATTTAAATTTTTTTTAAAAAGTTTTTTTATTTTTTTTTCAATTTAAAAAATAAAAATAAATTCAAAAAAACGATTTTATTGTTAATTTGTAAATTTTTTTCGTTTAAAACAAAAATGGTAACAAAATCTGTATATGGTAAGATATCAACAAGAGAAAGAAAATTTGCGTTTACCGTCGATTGGTAACAAATATATTAATTAATAAGAAAAAAAGGGACTGTAAAAATACAATATTTTAAAATATATAATTGTAAAAATTCGCGTTTTTTTAAACAATTTATATTAAAAAAAATGTAATGTTTAATCTAAATTAATGGGATTTTTCATACCGATGGAGTGAAAGGATACGAAGATGTTCTGCTATGTATCATAAGAGGTAATTTGAAAGGTAAGAAACTTTGATCGCGCTTCGCTAGAGAGTAGCACTGTACATTTTGCTCTCTAATACTGAATTAGTAAAAATGTTTACTAATTTGAATTGGTGACTCACTTTTTGCTTCTCAATTAGTAAAATTCTACTAATTATTAGTAACTTTTACTAACAATTAGTAAAATTTTACTAATTCAGAAGCAAAAAATGAGTCACTAATTTAAATTAGTAAACATTTTTACTAATTCAGAATTAGAGAGTAGTTTCAAATAAAAACATGTATAGCGGAAAATTTGAAATTTATTTACTATATCTAATACATAAATTATGAAAATTTTTCATATTTTTTTTTTATTTTAACAAATTGCAAAAAAGCCATAATCCCCACCACTCGTTGCCTAAGTTCTAGCTCAGCGTCGCTTCTGCTTTTTAGGCTCACAATTAGCCAAATTCCATTACCCTTACCACTTTTTTTTATTATTATCTACACTGAAGTGATTCATTTCTTTATCATTGAAAATTATAGTTATCTTTTCATTTACAAACGTTATGCTTCGCACTTGACTGAAGCCATTATAAAATAAAGTCAAAAATTAAAATTAAATATTAAAAAATAAATAAATAAAGAAGATATTAGAATATACAAAAATTAATCTGTACAACTATATATCCATATATTTCTATGTATAAGTGATTCTCTTTTCTCTCTTTAGTAACTGTATAGAATCACGCCATTGGTCCTCCAATTTGTTTATAGTAAAAAGCAGATAAGGTCCTATGAGACCACACGTTGACTTCGTCACGTTTAGTCACTCGCCCGCTCTCATTTAATAAAGATATACTTTTAAATTAGATATCGTCTACATTTATTTGAACATTCATTAGTTTATTATATCCTTTAGTTATTTCACTTTTATTATTATATTTCCAATAGAAGAAAACGTTAAATTTGCAATCGATAAGGATTTTTGCTGTCAGTTGTATTTATGTAAGTTTTCATTATTAATTAATTATTAATTATTATTAATTAACTATAATAATTTCCGTATTCATTCATTCATTCCGTCTGTCCACACTTGAAGTTAGTCGTATTTTGTTCCTTTTGTTTTTCTAAAATTTTGACAATTCTTGATTTCGTAATATTTTATGGTTAACGCGACGGATATTTTTATTCATCGTCATTAATTAAGTCATATACTAAGTGACAGTTTAAAGTAAAAAAAAAATATTGTTCATTGTGTGCAGCACCAGTATATTTCCTACTTGGTATTTATAGAAAAAAAAGTTTCAATTTTAATATAATTTTTATTATTATTTATAAATTTATTATATTATATATACATTTTTTTATATAATGATTACACAGGCCTACAAAATTTTGGATTTTGTCAGACCCAGAAACCGGAATAGTCATTTTCGATGTAATTTGTCACGCTGAATCCAAAAATGACATGGAAATTACTCTATCACGTCAGCATTTTGAGATATTCTAACCTAAAAGCTTGAAAAATGAAGTTTTTGGTAATATTTGACACTCTATAAAATCGATAAAAAAATTTTTTAATCATTGGTCAAAATTTTAAAAGAAAGTATTATATTTCTCCTTTCAAAATTTTCTAGGTTCGATCTGATCCAATTTCTTTTCTCTGAGATACAACCATTTAAGTTTTACATTACATGAACTAAAATCCCTTTCAAAAAGAAAAATAAATTGCAAAGTACTCATATCACTGAAACTTATTTCTCGGGGATTTTTGAGGTCGCTAATTACGAATCTGACGTCAGATTTTTGAATTTCAAAATGTCGGATCCTATATGGCGGACACTTTTTAAAAAATTTACCGAATTCGCTTGTCATTCATTACTTGGGGGTTTTTAGGGTCGCTGATTACGAATTGAATGTCAGATTTTTGAATCTGATATCACATTCGTAATTAGCGATATTAAAACCCCCTGAGTAACAATTTTCAGTGCCATGAGTACTTCGCAATTTATTTTTCCTTTTTAAAGGGATTTTAGTTCATGCAATGTAAAACGCAAATGGCTGTATCTCAGAGAAAAAAAATTGGATCAGATCAAGCCAAGAAAATTTTGAAAGGGGAAATATAATACTTTCTTTTGAAATTTGGACGAATGATTAAACAAAAATTTTGTCGATTTTATATACTATCAAATATTGCCAAAAACGGCATTTTTTACACTTTTAGTTTAGAATATCTCGAAATGCTGACGTGATAAAACAATTTGCTTATCATTTTTTGATGTAGCGTGATAAATTACATCGGAAATGACTATTCCGGTTTCTGGGTCTAAAATTAGAACATTTTAACTTATAATTATTATTTCTTTCATTATTTTTTCATTATTCATTATTATTTATTATACATTATTATTCATAAATTTATTATTATTAATTATTAAATTGTTATATTTTTTTATCTGTAAACAATATAAAAATAGTTTGATTTTTTAAAAAATTTTCAATTTGATTTTAATTTTTAATTTAAGTTTAAAGTTTAAAACATTACAAAGTTTTTTTTAGGTTTTATTTTTTCAAAATTTTTAAATATTTTTTAATTGATTAATACTTTTTAAAATATAATTAATAATTTTCAGTTAATTTAAATTTCTTTTTGATTACATAATTTTTTAATATTTATTAATTATCAATTAATTACATTTTTTGAAAAAAACATATAAATTTAAAATTTTCATTTGCAACGAAATATTTATAGAAAATACAAAAAAATATTTAGCAAAACTAATTTTTTGTAATTTCAAAGATTATAAAAAATCATCGAACATTGACTTTATCAAAAATATTTATTTCTAAAATTTTAATATTTATATTTTAAAATTTTTACTTAAAAATCTTATTTTTTTTACTATCAATTCACAAAAAAATGATCTTACTCGTTATATACATTCTGTCAATAAGAAAATCCATTCGTCAGTAATATCTTTTATCCCAACAATCTCTGCCTTTTCGTATACAGTATACATAAGTGACAAAGAATATTTTAATCATAATTGACACAACATAATTAATTTTTCTCGGCATTTCAAGTTATGTTAGCGATACTAGAATTGATTTATCAAAATTTACACCGCCAATTGTAACTATTGGTTTTAATTTATGTTTTTCTTATCATCACTTTTTCGATAGGTTTTTTCTTGGGTTTTCATTGTTGTTACCGTCAACAATCAAACTAATAGTTTTACAAGTTTATTAAATTTAAAAATTAACTTAGCTAAATTATTTTTGCTGTATTAACTAATTATAAGCTGGCTTAACTAAAAAATCACTATTTATATAACATCAAACTCATTTTTTTTCTGTGTATAAATAAATGATAACGTGAAAATTAGAAATATACCTATTATTAATTTATTAGAATTATTATTATTATTAATTATTAATATTATTATTATTATTATTATTTTAAAACAACCATTGCATTCAAAGTTGGACGCGCGTGTAATTTTGCTAGTATATTATATATAAAGGGCATGTCCCGTCAACTTAATAAATGAAATCAAAATTAAGTGTTGGCCATTTAGACAAATATCCGTTGGCATATATTTCATTTTTTTTTTTATTTAGAGGAAAAAGTAATTTGAACGATTTTTTAATTAAATAACAGCTTAGATTTTGATTAATAATAAAAAATAAACAATTTAATCTTATATAATACACTAATATGACTTTTTTAATTTCTAACGTAGTTTTAAATTTTAAATATTTTAATATAAAATATTTTTTTCAGAATTTTATACTACCGAAAGTACATATTATTGAGTGATATGGAATCCAATGTGGTGCAGCAAATTCTCACTAATGCTTCTGAGGACAATTCAAAAAAAAATTGTAATAAAAATGTTTACTTATTCATAATCCCTAGTCAAAAATTGATTAATTATAAAGAATATGAAACAACCTCAATTTTAAATGAAAATCCGGAAATTTCATTTACAATCAAATTTGAAAGAATTAGTACTAACTTGCGTGCTAATATAAGATTTGATAAAAAAATTTCAAATCAAGAATGTACAGTGACTATTTTCTATCTAAATTTTCAACGTAAAATTGAATTTTTCGAAACAATTAGTATAAACAATATTTTTCTTGACTCAACTTATTTTTTTACAAAAGAGTATAAATGTTACATATACGATAGAAATTATGTAGAAATGACTAACGACGGAAAATTTATTGATAATAATCTGTGGGTATGTTTAAAAATAGAAATAAACGATGTTTCAACGAGAAAACTAGATATTCATAAAAATGAAATATCTTTGAAATTTCTATCCCTTTATGAAGAAAAAATCTTGACTGATTTTAAAATAATTTGCAAAGATAAAGAATTTTGTGTTCATAAAGCAATTCTAATATGTCAATGCGATGTCTTTCGAGTCATGTTTGAACATTCAATGAAAGAATCTCAAGAAAACACAGTTATTATTAATGATTTTGAACCAGTCATTGTTGAATTAATGATTCGTTATTTTTACTCCGGTGAAATTAGAACAGATTTATCTGTAGACGAACTAAAGAAGCTCTTTCTAATTGCAAATAAATATAATTTAAATATTTTAAAAAAGATTTGCTTCAAAGAGATATGTAAATTCATAAAAGATTCAAATGAAGCTGTTGATATTCTATTATTTTTTGGATATCACAATTACACCGAATGTAAAGAAGAAATGGTTCAATTTATAAAAAATAATTTAAGCCTTTTTTGGTAAAACCAAGAAATTAATTATTTTTAAAGTTCTTAAAGATTTACAGAACTTCAAACTAACTGTAAATTTTTGTAATAACTTAAAATATTTGTAATGTACTTTAAATGTAGGCAAAATATTTGTATTTCAGATCGTTTATCGTTTATCGTTTATCGTTTATCGTTTATCGTTTATCATTGTCAATGTGAATATTTAATCAATAAAACTGTTATATTTCATAAAATTCAGAATTTTTTTTTAAAAAAATCACTTTCCATTATTTAAAAATTTCAACATAGTTGCAAAAGAACAATTAAATTAGATTTAATAACAAAAACCATAGAATAAATAGTTCTTTAACTTTAAAATACACAATTTTGTAAAATTTTCATATTCTTCAATTTTACAATATAAGGAATAAATTAGTTTACATCAATAATATATGAAACGAAAAATAAATTAAAAATAAATTTTTCATTTCATTCATTATATTAGTCAAAATAAATTGTCCCTAGTTTGGAAGTTTTTGTTAATTATAGAATATAATTTTTGCTCTTTATTACAATAATAACAAACAATGACAGAATACAATTTATGACCGCAAAAGCAAAAAAGAAATATAATGTAATTACGAATGAAGTTTACTGCCTTTAGCAAGAACTATATAAGCATTCTCTTGTCGATAACGCAAGAGTGTACAACTAAAGTTAATTTACCGATGTGCACATCACTTTTACTGATAATAATAGATAAAATAGCAAAATATCTTTTCTCACGACGTTTTTTTTTTTTTTAATCACCTAAACGCTTTCTTACATTCTTTCAAATATATATAAATCATTGATCTTGATTTAACATTCAAGATTCACAATTTTTATTGAAAATTTTTTTTTGTCATACATTTCTTATTATTTATTTTATTTTTTAAAATTATTTTTCAAATGTAAATAGGAAACAATTATTTTTCTTTTTAAATAAAATACGATTCTTGATATACAAGTAAATTATCGTTTAGAGAAAAGTTAAAGGTATTCTTATTTTATTCAACTCACAAAATCGATTGGAAACAAAGAGTTGGCATTTGAATGCCAGATGAATGTCGTTCGTCTGCATAATGAAATTCCTCTTTATAATACATTGTAAATGTTTAGAATATTATAAAAAAATTGTAATTTTATAATTCTTATCATAATAATAAACTGATTATACGAGGAGATAAAAAAAAATTAACTACGTTAGCAAATATTTAGCTACTTTAGCTAATTTTTAAAAAACCTAAGCTAAATATTTTTATATAGACAGAAATTATTGCTAATACAATTAGTTTTTAAATTTAACATACTTTCAATGACATTTCATTATTATCTACAAAAACTAAAAATTAGCTATATCATTCATTTTCATGAAAAAAATGTCACTATTTTTCCACTCATATTAGCTAAAAAAAAAAAATTTACCTCATTTATTTTTAAATATTATAAAAAGTGACAATTATCCACACTATATTTCTTATAAGAAAATGTGTCTCTTTTTTTCTTTAGAAAAAGAAATATGTCACTTTTCAAAAACCAATCAAATTAAATTACGTTGATCAATTTTCTCAGGATGAAGATTTTTTTCTTTCTTCTTCGAAAATTATAATTATTTATTGGGTCAATTATAACGGTTATAGTGTCATTTAGTAACATACATAAAATTTTTTTTAATATAGTAAATTAAGCATTACTTCTGTTTGGTAAAAAAAAAAAAAAAGCCTCTATATGTATTATAGAGAACACCCATAGAGAAAGTGATAGTGAACATAAGGATTTAATGATCAAGAAAATACGCGGTGACCGAGCTAACCGCTTTCCAAATAGTTGAATAGTATTTGTCGTTGATAAGACATTTTACACGCTTCACTAAATTAAAATCATTATCGCGAAAGTCAATTTTTAGTCGAAAAAAATCGAGAAATAAAAATAAAAATAATCCCAACATGTAACTATTGTTTCTTAATGCGGCTGTGATTAAATTATTATTATTTATTTATTTTACTAATAAACTAACAATTAAAAAACTAAACTACTTCTACTAACTTATTACTACTAAACTAAAAACTATTACTAAGAACTACTAAGAACTAGGAAGAACTATTACTACTACTACTAAACTACTATTAATTAGCCATTACTAAACATCTAACACTAATTTACTATTATTTAACTACTACACTACTAACTACTAACTTATTACTACTAAACTAAAAACTATTACTAAGAACTAGGAAGAACTATTACTACTACTACTAAACTACTATTAATTAGCCATTACTAAACTTCTAACACTAATTTACTATTAATTAACTACTACACTACTAACTACTAACTACTAACTTATTACTACTAAACTAAAAACTATTACTAAGAACTACTAAGAACTAGGAAGAACTATTACTACTACTACTAAACTACTATTAATTAGCCATTACTAAACTTCTAACACTAATTTACTATTAATTAACTACTACACTACTAACTACTAACTACTAACTTATTACTACTAAACTAAAAACTATTACTAAGAACTACTAAGAACTAGGAAGAACTACTACTACTACTACTAAACTACTATTAATTAGCCATTACTAAACTTCTAACACTAATTTACTATTAATTAAGTACTACACTACTAACTACTAACTTATTACTACTAAACTAAAAACTATTACTAAGAACTACTACTACTACTACTACTAAACTACTATTAATTAGCCATTACTAAACTTCTAACACTAATTTACTATTATTTAACTACTACACTACTAACTACTACTACTAAATTAGTGCTAATTTACTGCTACCAAACTACTGCTACTACCTTAATACTATTAAATTATTACACTACTACTACGAAACTACTTCTGCCATCTTATTAGTACTAAACTATCAAACTACTACTCCTAAACTACTAAACTAGTACTAACATACTCCTAATTTACTACTAAAAACTACTCAACTACTAAACTAGTACTAACTTACTCCTAATTTACTACTAAAACTACTAAACTACTATTAGTAACTTAGTACTACTACTTAACTACTAAACTACAAATAGTAATTTACTATTATTAAACTGGTAAACTACTAATAATACTACTACAACTAAGAAACTACTTATACTAACTTATTACAACTAAACTATGAAACTACTACTACTAAACTACTAAACTAGAAATAACTAAATACTTATTTACCACTACAAAACTACTATTACTAGCTTACTACTACTACCACTACTTAAATACTAAACTACTACTAACTTATTGTTACTAAACTATAGAAGTACTAAAAGTAAGCTACTTCTACTAACTTATAACTACTAAACTATGAACCTACTACTACTAAACTACCAAACTATAATTAAGTAACTACTAATTGACCACTACAAAACTACTATTACTAACTTACTATTACTTAACTAGTAAACTACAAATAGTAATTCACTGTTACTAAACTGCTAAACTACGACTACAAAACTACTTCTAACTTATTACTACTAAACTATGAAACTACTACGTAACTACTAAACTAGTAATCATTTACTTCTTATTTACAACTTCTAAACTACTATACTAGTACCTACTTACTACTAATTTTACTGCTACTGAACTATTAAACTACTATTATTAAATTACTACAATAAATTACTACTTACCTACTACTATTAACTTATTATTATTAAAATGCTAAACTACTACTACTCACTTATTATTAGTAAACTATTAAACTATCACTACCAAACTACTAAACTATTACTACTAAACTACTAAACTACTACTACCAAACTACTAAACTAGTATTAACTTGGTACTGACTTAGTACTACCTTAGTACTACCTTAGTAATAACTTAGTACTAACTTAGTACCAACTTAGTACTAACTTAGTATCAACTTAGTACTAACTTAGTACCAACTTAGTACTAACTTAGTACTAACTTAGTACGGACTTACTACTAATTTACCAAAACTAAACTACTAAACTACTACTACTATTTCTACTGAGTTACTTCTACTACCAAACTACTAAACTACTAAACTAGTACTAACTTAATACTAACTTAGTACTAACTTAGTGCTAACTTGGTACTAACTTGGTACTAACTTGGTACTTACTTGGTACTAACTTAGTACTATCTTAGTTCTTACTTAGTACTAACTTAGTACCAACTTAGTACTAACTTAGTACCAACTTAGTACTAACTTAGTACGGACTTACTACTAATTAGCCAAAACTAAACTACTAAACTACTACTACTACTTCTACTGAGTTACTTCGACTACCAAACTACTGAACTACTAAACTAGTACTAACTTAATACTAACTTAGTACTAAATTAGTACTAACTTAGTACTAACTTAGTACGGACTTACTACTAATTTACCAAAACTAAACTACTAAACTACTACTACTATTTCTACTGAGTTACTTCTGCTACCAAACTACTAAACTACTAAACTAGTACTAACTTAATACTAACTTAGTACTAACTTAGTGCTAACTTGGTACTAACTTGGTACTAACTTAGTACTAATTTGCCAAAACTAAACTACTACTACTACTTCTCTTGAGTTACTATTTTTAAACTACTAAACTAAAATTATATACAATTTTAAAAAAATAGTGTAAATGTAGTTTGAGAAAAATGTACAACTACTTGCAATGATAATACAAACAGGAACTGAAAATCAAATTGAAATAGACATAAATTAGAATGCAGTAAAAATAGCGAATTGAAATATAAGTTAGCATTGAAAATTTCAACGGAAAGTGTTGGAATTGATATAAATGTACAGTAGCACGCTATTCTTATATATATATATGATAGCAAGGAGCATAATTTCTAGAAAGACACGACAAGGTGTTTGACGTCATGTTCACTTGGTTCATTCATGTAGAACGAGAAAAGTCAAGAATTTTCAATTTTTTTCTTTTTTTTGGCATAAAAGTATAAATTTTTTCCTCATAAAAAGGACAACAATGTCTATTTACTTCTATAAAAAAAATGAAAATCATATAAATTATAATCGAAATGAAATAAAAAAATTGTAAAAAATTAATATTTGCTACGTAATTACGTAAAAAGTAAATAGTTACGTAAACAATTGGAAGTTTAACGAGTATATATATATATATATATATGAAAATTTGGAATATGGTTTGTATAAGAAAGATAAAAATCAAAGTGGGCAATAAAAA